TAATTTAAATATAATAATTACTTTAATTATTAATTTATTATTTGCCTTGCTTATACCGCTTTATAGCTTATATAGCCGGCCTAACTTACAGCTTGCTTCCTGTATATAACTGGGTTGTAACATATTGCAGCCAGCTTCAACGTGCAAATGGATAGCGTAGTATTTTAATTGCTCTAATCCTGCTATCTATTCGTGATTTCTCTATGCCAAAGGGCCTTACGTTTAGCTTCTTCTACTTATGCCCGCCACCTCAACTAAGCATAACCTCTACAGCTTGTCCCTCTAAACTATAAATAAACTCCTGGCTAAAAGGATAATCAATATAGCTAACTGGATCCTTTCCTTTATAAAATACATCCCTATTATACTTAGTAAGTTCTAGCCTATTCCGCACCTTATACGGTAAATCTGGTGTTAAGGTAAAGGCCCTGCCAAACGCGATAATAATTTTCTTACGAGGGTACTACTTATTAACTAACTGTCTCGCAATCTCTGGCTTGAACCCGCCAGCTATAAGAAGTAGCCCCTTCCACAACTTATAGGCAAACTCTAGGCTCTCTGTGTTTTTTTTTTTAGTCTCTATAATGTTATTCCCTTTGACTTGAGGGTCTACTAGATGTAGATACGCGAGATTTAAGCGGCCTAACTTGGCAATAACGTCTGAGAACTAGGGGACCGGGTCGGCCATTTTCATGGCGTTAAATATGTTCCAAGAGCTAAGACAAACACCTCTTCTCTTAGGCCTAATAGCCTAGGCGATAGCTGTAGTAACCTTTATAGTAAAGCGAGATCTATTCTTAATGCTCTTATTATACTTATTATTATACTGGTTAGAGACGTCTTATAGGAACTGGTTTATAAGGTACCTATTTGCGCTGCTAAGTTTAATGCTATTAAAGCTAGCGGTGATAGTGTTCTTAGCAGCTGCTATGTACGCTTCCTTTTTCTATTAAATCTGCGTAATGCTAAGCTTCTGCGGTTTAGAGGAATTTGTAGTAGTAGGGATAGTGTCTGGTCTGTAGACGGAGATGCCCTCTTTAGTAGAGATATCCACGGCGACACCAGCGTTTACGGCGACACGACCTAGGGACCAGAGCTGGGCGAAGATATAGCTCCCGTTTTTATGGATTACGTCAATGACTTTTTGCTATACGTTAATTTACTCTTAGTTCCAGATGCCAGGAACATTATTATAGCCGCCGTCTTATAAAGAGATAATAATACCTTTAATAATAAGAAGAGTTCCCAGGATAAAGGCGCGCTGTTTATAATAATCTACTATTATAGGCAGTGGGATGTATTTATTAGAGGCGCGGAAGCGGGTAAGGGGCGCAAGTGCAAGATGGTGTTTAAGGGTAATATTTCCTATAGCTAGTAGCTTAAATAGATTGGAGGAGGCCATTTTAGAGAATGTATTTGAGTTGGCAAAGTTAGCAGTGGGTTGGTTGTTGACTTAGGGTTTAGGCTTGTGAATACAAAACTTATTATAAAGGCAGACTCATTGAGGGTTAATAGGGTTTTTAACTTGAACGGGAGTACTTCGCAATACACCTCACAACTATGCATTACACTGTATTTTAGTCATTAGTTACCATGCTGCAGTATCCATATACTTGGTATTTCTAAGCGCCGGAACCTAGACGGGGCCTGATGGCGGCTTTCATTGGGACTAGACGCTCGACTCTGGCGCCAAGAGGCGTTGCATCTGGTCCGTGGAATTGAGTTCCAGCTGCTTAGCCAATTCCCCCACGGCCCGGATTTCTTAACTCCGGAGCGCGAAGCCATAAACTCTCATAAGGGGCTCAGTAATGCCAGTAGCGTTATATTAACCTTTGCGTGCGTTTAATACCCAGACTAGGCGTGACAAGAGAAGCTAAATGATTCGTATTCCACATATATAAATGCTCTTATCACATGCCTAACACTAATGCGCCGACGAACTGTACTAGAGTTCGTTGACAATTTGTATGGCCTGAAATTAGTCAGCTAGATAAAAAACGCCATCATTCCTCGTGACAATCCATTCCTTACAAATTAGAATACAGTTTAATCTCTTCTTACAAATCAAACTTTAGTTTCGATTTCTTATAAATGAAAATGTAGGGGGCTTCTAATAAAGAAGAGCTAGAAGCCGCTCCTAGCTTCCCAACTTAACAATCTCAGGTACGAAAATGAAGCAAGCTATCGTGGACAAAGCTGTTACTGTCGCAATCTGCGATGTCGACATTCCTGTCGCCAAGCCTGGCCAAGTTGTGATTCAGGTTGTGGTGTCTGGTACCAATCCCAAGGATTGGAAAATGCCCGCTTGGATGCCAGATGCTCCTGCTGCAAACCAGGGCGATGATATTGCCGGCTATGTTGAGGCTGTGGGAGGAGGAGTCTTGAACTTCAAAAAGGGCGACCGAGTGGCTGCTTTTCACGAAATGATGACGCTTGGTGGAAGTTACGCCCAGTATGCCGTCGCATGGGAGCACACGACCTTCCATCTCCCGGAGGATACCAGCTTCGAAGGTATGAGAATCCTCGGCCGATTGTGCTTGCACGCCCATTAACACAACTAGAGGCCGCCACGATCCCACTAGCTGCCACGACATCTGCCCTTGGTCTGTATCAGCAGCTAAGCCTTCCACTTCCTTGGAATCCCGCGCCAGAACCACTGCCTCTGGTAGTGTATGGCGGTGCATCCGCTGTCGGCGCTTTTGCGATCAAACTAGCACGCCTCTCGAATATCCATCCTATCATCGCTGTAGCCGGCAAGGGCACACCGTTCGTTGAAACACTGATCGATCGTTCCAAGGGCGACACCATCATCGACTACCGCAAAGGCGACGAAGCTGTGCGCAAGGCCGTCAGAGATGCCGCCCGCGGCCTGCCAATCCACCACGCTTTTGACGCCGTATCAGAGAAGGGGAGCTACCAGAATCTCGGCGCGGCGCTAACCGCACCAGCTACAATTACAGTTGTTCTGCCGGGTCAAGAGTACAACAAGGTTCCAGAGGGGGTTAAGATTGTCGCAACCACCGTAGCATCAGTTCACAAACCTGCAGATAAAGGGAAAATGGTTAGTGAGGTCGAGTTTGGCGCTGCATTCTTCGCCTTGTTTGGGAGAGGCCTGGCGGGGGGTTGGTTCACGGGGCATCCTCATGAAGTTCGCCCGGGTGGGTTGGCTGGGCTTGAGGGAGCGTTGAAAGACTTGCAGGCTGGCAAAGCTTCGGCTGTGAAGTACGTTGTCCGCATCGCCGAGACACCAGGACTGTAGGACTGTAATTCGGCCAAAGGCTGTTTCTACATTACCTGTTGGCAACTAAGTGGGCTAACCACTTAGTTAGCCCCGAAACTCCGGGACAGCTACTATATCAATTAGCAATATAGGTATAGAAGCACAATTTCTTAGCTATACTCGAAAATTAAGACTAGATCTAACCACCAAAATAGGGTCAAAACTTTTTATTATTACACTAAAATACTTTTATAGCTTATATAAATTAAACTCTAGACTTTTTTTAATTTTAGATTTATATATTATATTATATCTGGCGCTTAAAATTATTATTAGAATTTCACGGCGAAGACCCTTGTTTTAGTAGTTTATTAAACTACAATTAAACTAGTATTAATATATTTAGCGCTAATTCTAATTAGACTATATATTATTAGATTTATTTTAATTTAAGGGTTAATAGGTATTTTATTTAGTATTTATATATATTAATTTTTACTTAATATTTTACTCTAATATTAGTAATATATTTTATTTTTTTATATAAGTAAATTATATATATTAAAAATACTAAAAAAATATAGCTACTTATATAAGTTTACTAATTCTTAGGAAAAGGCTAAGGCTAATATAAATTATAAGTAAGTAAAATAATAGCAGGACACCGCTACACAATATAACAAACTGTATACTAGACTATATAGTCCAGGTCTTCCCCAGACCTGCGTATTTGGATATAATATATTAATATCAACTCTACTATCTAGATATATTAATATTAATATATATTAATATTTATATAACTTTTTACCTCTTAAATAGATATCTAGATTAATATCTACCTATTATTACTTTTTAATTAGTAGAAAAGATCTTATTAATTAAATAAAGGAGAAAAGTTTTTTCCTAATTTTAATATTAGGAACCACCAACTAAGTAGTCGTCTAAACTATAATAGGCTGTGCTGCTGATGACCTCTCGGCTAATGTGCGCTCGACTGATGCCGGTGCTGATGACGCCACCAAATGAAGGTCTCAGAACCTCCCCCTGAGCATCGACCACGCAACTATTTGCCTAGCTCGTCCAGAGCTTCTGGTTTCTCTCTTCTGTAAGGCAATCAATTTGTTGATTTCCGAGCTTACCTTGTAGCTGAAAAAGCCCCGTGCCCTTACACAAACAGTTCTCGTAATTAGCTTATCTAGGCGATTTATCGTCCATGGCATCGTCTCAGACCACTCCTGCTTCTGCGCCCTCGATTTCGGACCAGCCTATTACTGGGACGTCTCTGGGAGGTTGTTGGAGAAGGTATCTGTCTCTACAACTAACCAGGGAACAATAGGTCACACTTGATATCAGCTACGGACAGGTGGGATTTGATTCGAGATATGATATCGAAGGAAGAAGACGAGAGGCCAGTTGTCAGAGGGCCGATTATCGCGCTGATGATTATGCTAACTTACTCTTTTCGCCAGCTTGACCATGCAGGTACCTCGAGCAATTGGTGCCCGAGCCGGACTCTGAACCAGGGGAGAAGCCGAGAACGTTAAGAGGGACGATGATTCTATAAATAAAAGTCTAAGTCCTCTTCGCCTTGGCTGGTGGCCCGGTGCAGGTGTCCACACATTAAAGGCGTGGCGGCTTAGAGAGAAACATAATCGTCTAGACTGCGACGACGTTCTCGGAGTCTAGTAATAGTTCCACCAGAAGAATTAGCGGTCTTCTATACACAAGATCTGGTGTTAAATAACAACCGCATTGATCGCAGACTTGCAGGCTTCGGCTGATTGTACGCCTTGCACCACTGCTCTAAAGTGCAAGGTGTGACGTAATATTTTAAGTACTATACATTATCAGACCAGACACCTGTGTATGCCGCCGCACTCCTTCTCGATCCCTCAAAAAGAAGAAAATACATTGAGAGGAATTGGAAAGAGTCCTGGCAAGCCTCTGCTATTGCAGCTGCCCAGAAAATCTGGCTAGACGAATATGAGGCCGCGGCAGTCCCAGAATCCTTGCGGGCGCCTCCAGATATATCTTCTTCATCTGAAAGGCAGCACAACGAGCTGGATGAGTTGTTGAGCGGTATTGCGGTTACCGGCCCTATATTAGACGATGCCGATGACTTTGAAACCTTCATTAATGCAACACCAACTCGGATAACCGGCTCTCCTCTCGAGTGGTGGCTACATCGAGACCAAAGGAAAGCATATCCGCGGTTATCCCGCATGGCGATTGATATCCTCTCAATTCCTCCTGAATCATCTGATGTTGAGTCTCACTTCTCATCGGCACGGCGTACGTTATCATGGGATAGAGAGAGTATGACCTGCGAGAACCTGGCCAAGGTTGAGTGTGTGGGCAACTGGATACGTGAGGGTATCATCGTGCCCAAGTCTCACGGTAGCAGGGGCGTTATTTCGAGCGGTTCTGTTGACTTTAGCGTTGAAACAGAGGCAGGGGACTTTCTAGACTAGGGTGTTTAATGTTCTTTCTTCTAGAGTACAGGAGCTAGATGTGATTAGCTGGATATCAACATTGCTAAAGTGGCTATGTGGCTATACGGATATCTATCTGGATATCGATATAAGGGCCGGAATTTCGGTGGATATCGATATACGCAGGTCTGCATAAGAACCAGCCAGACCAAGTGGTTCAGATTCATGCAAATTTAATATCAACTTTCTCAGCGTAGTAATTTGCGAGAAAAGGCTCACCAAGTTGCTGTAAAGTTCACAGTTCAATTTATAGTCGATTCTTAAACAGCGACATTATTGTTGTGGGAAGCTGCCTCTGGATGTATATATTTACATAAGTACAGCACAATAGCCCATTAGATAGTGCTAAAAAACCGCCACTGTAGCGCCTTTAGTGATGGAACCACTATAAATACAGCGCTTAGAGCCCTGACAGCACATATGCTTGCTCGCTTGCTTTCTGAAGAATGGCTCTGCTAGCCTAGATAGAATTCCGATCCGTAGCCCTTCTCAAACAAAGTGAGGACCGGGGGGTTGGGGGCTGGCCCCCATGAAGTTTAAATAAAAAGAAATAAAAAAAATTAAGGAGGAAAACAAGTCAGGAAAAAAGCTACGCCTTACCCCCGCGCATGTCCTATCCGCGGCCCCTCGTTATGTCTGCAGGGGGCCTTATAGAAGCTACAACTGCAAAGGCCTGGAAACAGCTGCAAGTAGCTGCTAGGCCAGCCGCAAACTAGCTAGACAACTGGGCTAGCGTTACTCTAGTAAAAACTAGAGCTATTTTTATAGCTTTTATAGCTAAAAACAGCTCTAACAGCTGGCAGGCAACCCGCCAACAGCTGCGAACAGCCCGATAAAACCAAACTAGCTAAGTTGCTTACGCAACTAGTTAAAAAAAGCTCTACCTGCTAGAAAGAGACTATCTAGGTTGCACATAAGCTTTCTAGCTTACCTGATAAACCCCTTAAATCATGTGACTAACTAGCCTACGTAAGACCTTCTAGCTCACGCAAGCTAAAGCTCTAAAGCAGGAAAAACAACTAGAAACCTAGGAAAAACGCAGGAAAAAAGCTAATAAAGCTATTATCAACTAATAGCCCTAAAAATAACACTTGCTAACAACTGCTATCACCTGCTAACACTTGCTAAAAACAACCTTCCCTTTGTAAAATAGTATAAAAAGCTCTGGATTTGTGTATTTTAGTTTAAAACTCCTAGGGCAACAGCTTCGATAGAAAAATAAAAATAGACCTTAACATAACCCTAACCCTAAAGTTTGGATCACGTGCGAGCGTGCAGGGGGGTCGGAGTGTATTTCAATAAAGTAAATAACGTACAGGTTGAGAAGCATTAAATGTCTCGACCCTGGGCAGAAAGGGCCTTATGGCTACTAACCGGTGCCACAACAGTCCCGGCATAAAGGCCCTGATTGCTACTAATCGCTTCCACAACAATCCCCGTATAAGCATCTATGTCTTCAATTGACAACCCCAGAGTCTTGTTATGAAGCCCCCGCCTACTCTCATAATCACCCTCCCCTGTTGGAAACGAAAGACGCCCAAATATCTGCGTCCCGAAGCCAGACAGATCTCCCTTCTGCGTCTTCGCCGCACCTTCCTCATAATGGTCCTTAGAGGTTTTGCTTGTGAAAGTCCAATCTTTATCGCTAGTGCCTGTCGCCTTCTTAACACTGTTAAAAACTTCTTTCTGGGTTGGCGAGAAACTAGCAATATACACCACATTGTTTCGTAGCTGCGACAACGTGGGTAGCTTGTCGTTCTCGTCGTCTGGAAATTCTTTAAGTGAGACTAAGGCAGTAATTGCCTTAGCCATCTGAGGCCAAGTAGAACTACTATAGCGGACACGGGCGTCATCGATCCATAAGACGCTGCGATTTCGAATGTCTATGCCATAATTGTCGGAATAGAGGACGTATTCATACCACAGCCCGGTGGTGAGAACTACCCATGAACTGACACCGAGACTTTCAATCAGAGAACTCACACCCTCAACTTCTGGCGGCACAGGAGTATCTTTCATCAACTGTTCGTTGGCGAAATCAAAGGCGAACCAGTTAGGCATGACATACGGCACACCTGCTTTAGCAGCCGCCCGGATCAACTTGGGTTGGGTATCGCCAGGTGCATCGAAGGCGAGAGTAATAATGAGGAATTGCTGTCCGTGGAGAGCCTTAACCAGTGAATCCTCATCGTCATAGTCAACTAGGGCGGCTTGGACACTGTCAGGTAATTTAGTGGTGCTTGTAGCACGTGTTATCGCAGTAACAGTATGCTTTCCTGTTTTACACAGCTCCTTTATGATAAATCCTCCAAGCCTGCCTCCAGCCTATTGCAATAGTTAGAATTTACTAGAACCCATGGTACAAATAAACTAATATTAACAAGATGCACTTACCCCAACGATGGCAACCCTTTCAATGTGGTTACTAAAGCCCTTAGGCTGATTTTTGGCGTATTCTTGCGACATGGCTTGGAATAAACCCTTAAGTCTGATGTGACGATGAACTGAGCGTTTTGGCGTCGGACAGATTATATCTTATATATCTGATTTGGATTAGCTACCTGCAGCAAATGAGGAGCCGCTGGCAAGTTAGCGCCCGGAAAGTGGATTTTGCCTGACAATAAAGCTAAATATCCACGCCTCTAACCCTACCGCCGCGGCGTTCCGGTGGTTCCGTGGAATGGCTCATTGCAAGTTATCTTCTTGGCATAGTTTTGTTAATAGTGCTTTATAAGCACTATAGGTACAAGGGCTACAGCTAGGATAAACAATATACCAAAGCTAAATATCCACACCTCAAACCCTATTGCCGCGGCGTTCTGGTAGTGTGGGGTTCCGTGGAATAGCTTATTACAAGTTATCTCCTTGGTATAGTTTTATTAATAATGCTTTGTAAGCACTATAGGTATAAGGGCTACAGCTAGGATAAACAATATACCAAAGCTAAATATCCACACCTCGAACCCTACTGCCGCGGCGTTCTGGTAGTGTGGGGTTCCGTGGAATAGCTTATTGAAAAGCGAAGCTTTTCTTTACACTCCGACCCCCCTGCACGCGTGCACGTGATCTAATTTTATAAGAAAAGTAGTTTCTATCACGTGTTTTTAAGACCTTTAATTAGCTATAATCCTAACTTTTAATTAGCTATCTTTAAACGCTTTTAATTAGCTGCTTCAGAAATATACTATTATATAATATTACGGGCCCTATACGTTGACGTGACTTTTATACTGCTTTTACTCTCTTTTTCTCTGCCTAATAAATTCTAAATACTGCTTAAACTACGCTTATAAGCTTTTACTCTCTTCCTTTTTTAAGGATACCTCTACTAATCTGAGTAGTAAGGTCTTTATTACCTGTATAGGTTACTAGGAGAAGTTAAGGAAGAGAAGGGCTATATAGCTATTAAATACTAATAGACTATCTAAGAGACCTAATATATCACGTTTTCTACCTCAATTACACCCTCTCCTTAAAGAGCCCGCCAGACCCTTTATTCTTCCAGTCTAGCATTATAACTAGCCTTAGCAGCTTATTCCACCTCTCTAGCCTTGAGTTTTTTGTCGGCAACGCCTTTAACTACTCTAAGGTTAAGCCTCTTAACCTATTTAACTAGCCTAGTATCTAGTTTAGCTCTAAGTCCCTAAACCTATTTAACTTATTTAGTATTATATTTATCCTTAACCTATCTTGCCTTAAATCCTACGTTAATAATCCCCTTAACTATACTAGCCTTAAGTCTCTTAACCTATTTAGCCCTTATAGTATCTAGTATATTTCTAGTTTTAAGTTCTCTAACCTATTTAACCGGTCTTGTATTAAGTTTCTTAGCTGATCCTACTACTTTAGCTTTAAGTCCTTTAACTTATACTACCAGTTTAGCCTAAAGTTACGGGCTTTTTCCTAACTAAATAATAGGGGTATATATAAAGCTTCTACGCCGCTATAAATTAGGTTAAAATAGAGATATACCTTTATTATAAGGAGTATTAGTTTATAATAGATTTAAAGTATAATACTTACTATATATACTTCTTATAAAATAAATATAACTAAAGTCCTTACCTAATATTTATGGAGAATAAAATAGACCTAGAAGATATTCTAGATTACCTACTAGAACTTATATAAGTTAAGGAGATAATTATTACTTAGTTTTACGTGTAAATAATAGTTTATTACTATTATAGCTATTAATATTACTATATAAAGTATTACATAAGTTTTATATAAAATATAATTAAGATAATTAATATATTACCTGTAACGGCTAAGGTTCCTAAGGGATAAACTAGTTATAGTTTATATTAGCAAAATAACTAAGGCAGTTAATCTAAGCAGTTAGGTATTATATTAGTAATAGGTTATAAACTATAACCAAGTAATTAGAGTTAAAGAGTTATAAGTAAAGCTTATTTAATATAATAATTAGTATTAAAAGC